GACTCTGTCTTCAGCCCTCTTCTCTTTCCAGCCTCGTTCTCTCCCCAGGTGATTTTACCTCATTCTGTGGCTTTAAATACCACCTACGTGCTGATTCGAGATCTTTTTACTGAGCTTCACAACTGAAGATCCTACTGCTTGTTTGACATTACAAACACTTGGGTGTCTATTAAACGTTCGAAACCAAACATGACCAACACGAGAATTCTTGATTTTTATTTCCCCATCCAAAACCTAATCCTCTTTCTCATCAGGTGCAAATGGCACCCGAAATCTCCCTGCATGCTCACGGCCCAAACCTGGAGTCATTCTTGACTCCTTTTTTTTCAACCACAACCTATTCATGTTGGCTCTACTTTCAAATAGTGTATACTCTATTCTAAATATAACTACAATTCAATATTCTCTACTTCCTTAGTCAAAGTTCTTACCTGGCTTACTGTTTTTCTCATTTCTACCCACTAAAAGCCATTCTTCATTTAGCATCCAAAGAGATGCTGTGAAGTGTGGATCAGTTTCCAAGCTGCATTACGACTTTTGCCTTCATAGAACCCTTCCTCCATTAAAAAAAAATTAATAAATTAAGAATTCTGTATTATGACTGCATTGATATAAATACGAAAGAGATGCTGTGAAGTGTGGATCAGTTTCCAAGCTGCATTACGACTTTTGCCTTCATAGACCCCTTCCTCCATTAAAAAAAAATTAATAAATTAAGAATTCTGTATTATGACTGCATTGATATAAATACAAATATATTAATATTATATATTGAAACATTTTATTAGACTTAAAAGTTCACTTTTCTTCCCCTGATTTTAAAAGAAATTCAAACGTTTTTGTGAATTCCTAAAATTATTGTGGGATCTAAGCACTGTGCCTCCTGTACCTCCCGGATAAGTTGGTCCTGATTAGACCCCACCAGGTCCCCTACTTAAAGTCCTTCAACTGTGTTTCCCAGCAGGTAGAATGAATTCCAGAGCCCTTGCCAGGATCCTTCATTCCTAGATGAGCTGGCCACAATCTCTCTTTCTGAACCCCTCTCCTGATACTATCGCCCTTGTTCACTCTGCTGTGGCCACACAGTCTGCTGTCTGTTGAGCAGACCAAAGCTGATCCTGCCAGGGGCCTTTGCACTTCAGTTTGCTGAGCCTGAAACATTTGCCCTACCTCTACCCCCTGGTTTTCAATGGACCACTCAAAGTTCGGTGTAGCAAGCCTATGAGTTTCTCGTGGGTCATGCGGGTTTGGAAGAGGATGACTGGGTTTGAGACATCTGGCTAGTTCTCCACTCAAAAGGGCTGTCTGCTAGGTCAGGGTGCCTCAATGGCAGGAGGCAGAGGGTTACATCACCAGAGATAAGAGCTAAGGAGGGTGGAAGAGCTGGTCTTAAATAAGAAGCAGTAACCACTGAGGACAGTACATAATCACAGTGAGCCAGGTAAAGATGTTTACCCTTCCCCTTGCCCTCTGCTCCATCCCAGCCCACTGGAAGAGCTGGAGCCCAGAAGAGGGGAGATCTCTGAATCAGATAGGAGGGTTAAGTTAAACACACTGAGAGTTACTCACCAAAAGGAAGCAGGCAACTATGGAATCAGTCTGCCCAACTCTAAGGCCATGATCTTTCCACACCAGTCTGTTGTCCCAGCTCTCAGCCTTGTTTACTTTTGTCCTGGAAACTGGTTCATTTCCTCCTCTGGGGAAACACCAGACTAAAAAGAGATGTGTTGTTCATCTTCTAGAAACGGCCCCATGTTTACCACCTATGTACTCTAGACCCCATCCCACCAAAAGCAGTTTTACATGCCCTTCCCCTATCGGAGGCCCTCAGAATGCTGATCCAGGCAAAGAAGGCATGGTGCAGGAACCCCAGTGAAAGCCTGGAGATGAAAGATGCAGGAAGCTGTGTTCCTAGGTTAGCGAGGATGGCTGTCCATCGGCATTCAATGCAGTGCTTTGGAGGGTTTAACCATTAGGGTGGCCAAGCATGTTTGTTTGCCCAGGATATACTTGGCTTGTGCCAGACATCCCAGCCTCATTATTAATAGCATTCTCTTTCAGTTAGTCTCAAAAGAATTCCATTCTGGATGATAAATTAAATGGCTACCCTATCAAACATTCATAGAACTGAATGGACAGAGGAAATTTCAAGGCATCTTTGAGCTCATTCATGGCAAGAAAGAAGAAAAGGGACAGCAGAACCCAGCAGAGCAAGAAGGAAATCCAGGCCAGCTCAGGGACTGTTCATCAGACTCCCTGCCGGAGGCTCTCACCAGCCCCTGGTGAGGAAGTGCTGAGGACCGCCATCAGAATGCCTCCAGACACTCTGGATGGCTGTCATTTACCCTTCCTTTAGCAGACAGTAGACTAGACAGCCATCATTCCAGGGCAGGTTTGGTCATCCTCGACAGGTTCCGCACTAGAGACCACCTGTTAAAGAGGTGTCATGAGATGTGTGTGTGAGAGGGACTTCCATTCCCTCTGAGCAGGTAGACGGAGCTACACAAAGAACAGGGAATTAGGAGCAGGATCTGGGTATTCCTTTCTGGTTCAAAAAAAGTAGAGAAAGAATATACATACAACTCTCCCATTTAGTGGCTCATATTTCTTTACCTCTTTAGCATTATGTTCCCACTTATTTTTTTTTAACTGGCTCCTTTCTAAAATTCAAAATTCTGAATAAAAAATATATCCCGCATCTTGCCACAACCTTCTGATTCTCAACGACAAATGATTTTCAAGTTTCCCATTTTACACTGTGAGCATTTCCAAATCCTGGTTACAGGGTTGCCCCCTCCAAAGGCACTGATGCTTGACACACTTGGGGTTCATCATACTTCCTGCATCATCACCCTGACCTACAGGTTGTTACAGCAACCCCTGAAGTGTATTCACTAGAACACTAGATTGCTCATAGGCATTATATGAGAAAACAAGGATTCTGTGATCAAAGATGTTTATTGAAATACAGACTTTAAAACGTTAACATGTCTCTTTCCTACAAGACCTCTCAGAGCTTTTAATGTGCAAACAGGCCTGCCTGTGAACCCCTGATAAAGACAGGGAGTATTGAGAGGCATCTCCTTCCTCCTTGATGACAGTACCTTTTCTATTTTTGGTAGAAAATCTGGAGGGATGAATGTTTAAGGAACACACCTTGGGAAATGTTCTACTAGCCTCACTAGGAACATATGCTTATAATGTATATAACTAATACAGATAAAACACTAATTATATTAATAATATCATGAATCCTTTTTTTCTTTCTGCTACCATGATAGCTTAATATCTTGCTTTCTTTTATTACCACTGGAAAGATCGGCATGTTGAATTATTTTGTAATGTTTTACAGTTCTATGAATTATGCTATATATAGCATATGGATACTGGTCTTCAGTAAATTGCATCTACTTGTGAACTAAACATTGATATTATTCTGTCTTTATGCCATTGTCTAACTTTGTGAAAAATAAAATAGAAATCAAGGTGCTTCATAAAAGGAGCATCTATTTTTAAAAATTCAGTTCTGGTCTAGGTGTGTTCAGTGGACTTCTTTTGGCACCAAGCAAAAGCCAAAACAAAAAACTCAAATAGCAACTATAGAAATGGAGACCTCTCTTCTCCCTCATGCTAGATTCCTGTTAGGTGTCAAAGCAAATTGTACTGGAACTCAGAAGATTCCTGGCGGCCCTGTGGCCCTGTGCCTCCTTGCTATGCATAGTATTTCTCATGTGATTTGAAGAGAACACTGTGGTTGTAAATTTCTTGAGTGTCTTATCAGTATCTTCCTACTGAAAAGCTCAAAAAACACAAGCAGAAAGCCACTTGGAGAATGTATAAGCTGTGTTTGAATGTCCTCACAAACAGCCACAATGCAGGTTGAAATTACCTGGGGTGTAAGCACAGCAAACATCCACCTTGTAGGCCATTTGCTTTTTTCTCTACTGACACATTTAGAAAGACGTGCTTAGGCTGAGAACCATAAAATGAAAACACAGAATAACTCAAGTCATTACTTTATATGCTGTGATTATCACACTGATAAAACATTCAGAAAGGCATTTACTGCAGTGCATGATACTGATCCATTTTGCATTCTCCCAATTATCATTTTTACTACCATACCTGATAATTCATGCCTGTAGCTTAGAGCATTCCAGCAAAAAGGTGCCTTTGTAAAGCTAGTGAAAAAAAAGGCCAAACTTTTTAAAAAGCAACTTCCAAGTATTTTTACTCTAAAATAAGAAAAGTGAGAGAAAAGTTTGCAAATTGAACAAGTACACAGCTCCCTGCAAGCACAATGAAAACTATGCAGAAAAAATTTTGATTAGGCTCTATGACTGCGCCAGACTCCAAACAAGTGGTTTTTCTGTTGTGACATCTACCAAGCAATGCATCCATTGTTCTCTGGAATTTAATTCATTTTAAATTACTCCATCCAAAATGATAAAACATGAGATGTGCTACACTCCAGGGGTAAAATGCTATGATTGTCTTTAGTGTGACCACACTGTTAGCTCGAAAGCAATACAGTCTGTTCTAATTACACCTGATTATTGTCTTCTGAAAAACAGCTAGTTCTGGAAATATGAGTGAAATCTTGTCAAACTGAAGGATTGGGATGAACAATCTTGACTACAAAGTTGGCAGAGCTATACGCAAATAGTTCCCACAAGTAGAGCAACAGTCTTTGGAAACTATTTTCAAAAAGAGAAACTCTTTTCAAAATTAAAAGCAGCTTGGGATACTGGTTTACGATAAGATATAGTTTAATATACATATCAATAGAGTGAAAAGATTATTTTACTGTTTAAGGACTACTGTAAAAATGCCTCCAAATCCAAACCATTATAACTGCCTGTCTAAGAAGTATTGTGAAAGTTCCTAAGAATTCTATGTGGTTGGAACACTACCGCCTGGAAATATTAATGATCAAGCATGGGGGGTGGGGGGGAGGGAACCCAACGTGAATTTCAGAAGAAAATACACACACATAAGAATTCATATCTCCTATATGCCACATATTTAATATAAACCTTTGAAACAAGTTCAGATGAAATAAAAATCAAAGTTCTCAAAAAAGGTGAAAGATTAACTTAATCCCCCCCAATTCCCCAAACATCAATATGTTTTTTATTTCTATGCAAAAGTATGTCTTCAAACTGCTTAAATGATATGATAGGATATACAAACCAGTTTTCAAATAATAAAGCCAGTCATCTTGCAATTTTAAGAAATTAGGTAAAAGGTATCATTTGATACATTACACACATGCACACACACATACACCCACATGCACACCCATGACAAATTTTGACCTCTCCTAAAATAAGTATAGAAAGAGCATTAACTGCTGCCAGGAAGGGACACTGTGTCACCCTTCCCTGCAATCCAGGTAGTTTCCTTTAATCCAATAGCAAATCTGGGCATATTTGAGAGGGGTGATTCTGACAGCCACATTGAAATCCTGTGGAGAACCATTCATGTCCACCCACTGGTGCCCTGAAAAGATGCCAATAATTTTTCGCTCCCACTTCTGCTGCTGTCTCTTCCACATCCTCACGTAGACCCCTGACCCGCTGGCCCCAGGTTGGGCATCACACTGCTGGTAGAGCAGGTCGTAGGTCTCGTCTTTGACATCGCAGAAGCGGTACACCAAATTGCCTGGTCGGTCATTGTCATAACCAGAGAAGTGGATTCTGCCCCCTGGCAGCTGTTTGGCAGGAGGGCTCACCCCAATCTTCATGAACTTTCTCTTGTGAGGTTTTTTGAGTTCCAGCAGGGCATAGTCATAATCCATGCCAATGTCATTCGCATTGCCCTTGATCCAACCCTTGGGCACATGGGTGCGTTTCACCCGGATCCACTGAAATTTCATCTTCTCGGGCACGGCCGAGCTCGAGTCATTTGCCCCTCGACCGTCTTTAAATTTGGGCTTCAAAAAGCCCACTCGAAGTTTCTGAGTTCCTTTCACATAGGTTTTTCCATCATGTATACAGTGGGCAGCCGTGAGTACGTGTTTCTCTGCCACCAGGGTGCCAGTGCATCCTGTAGATAACTTTACTGATGTTGAGAAAGGGTAGTTGAGCAGGAAGTCCTTCCCAAAAATGCTGAACCTGCTGTCGTAGCCATAAATCTGCCGTTTCCTTCGAGACCTTCCCGATGACTCTGAGTCCCGGTGTTGGGCCCCACGTCCACCACCACCGAGGATATAAATGCCCACTTGCGTCTCTGTGCGGCTGCCATTGGCATAGAGCGTTTCATAAGACAGGTATTGCTTGACTTCTTCATAAGTGGGCAGTGGGGTTCCCTTATGACACTGGGGTCCACAGGAAGAGGTCACTTCCAGTTTGGCTTCAGCCCCAAAGTCTGGCTTGGCTAGGTTGAGGGTGGACTGGGGCAAGATGATGGGAAGTCGGTAAGCAGGCCAAGTGGGTTTCCACAGGGCACCATAGGGGCTCACCTGCCCGACAGAACAGAGCAGGAGGAGAAGGAGGAGCAGCAGGAGCCCGGGCATGCCCGCCATGCTGAGCACCATTCTGTAGAAACAAAGACAAGCAGGTCAGGAGCACAAGGGCTGAACGCTGCAGAGGGATGAAGCCAGCAGCATGCCTGTCATTGTTTCTAAGTCTGTGAACCCTCCTCAGGAATCAGGGTGTGGAGAGGAATCCTTAGATAATGGTCTCACTTACAAAGCAAGGTCCTGACCTTGGGGCCATTCCTGTGGCTGGGTGCCCAATCATTCCTTCCTATGTTTAAGACGCCCTACTGATGTCCCACTGCAGGGCAGCAGGCTTACAGCCATTAGTCCCCAGGTGAACTGCTCGACCAGCCCTGATTTCCATGTGATTCTGAGCCTTCTTTGCACTTGATTCTAAACCTTGTCCTCTCTGACCTTCCTGGTCCCCCTGCCTTTCTTTCTTTCTTCCCTCTCATTCTCATTATAACAGGTACTTGGAAATTTTCAGGGCAACTTGCTCACTTAGAGGGTAAATTTAAATTACACAGCTTACTGAGTGACCGAGGCATCAAGGAAGGACAGCTGCATGGTGTCACTTACTAGGACTCCTGTGGCTTCTACATGATGGAGGCATTCGGAAGAGGATAAGATACATACGTACATACATGCATACATGCATACATATATATATATATATGTTTTGTTTTGTTTTGTTTTGAATTTAGAACAACCTTTACTATCATATATTTAGTTTCAGAGATCTTGTTAGAGGCATCTAACAAAATATTCCTTCTTCCTTTGGATGATGTTGTACACTAACAGGATCCCTGTCAAGATCTAAAGCGCTGATACTGCACCAGGTATAACATTATGACAATTACTGTTGGTTACTTATTCAGGTGCTTATATCTGTGTTCTCAGCTGCTCTAAATGCCTTGAATTTGGGACGATGCTAGCACTCAATAAAGACATATTGAATGAGTGCTTATATTAATGGAAGATTGAATGAATGGTGTTGTTCAAAAAACACATTTGTTGAATGATGCATGCTGGCGGCTAATGACAGAGGTGTAGCAGATGACATGGTAGCTCAGAGAAAGGGAATGAAGTCAGTCATGGGGGGTAAGAACAGAGGAGGCATTCCAGGGGAAGTGATGCTTGAGAGGGGCACTGAAGTTGAAAAGAAGTTAGCCTAAGAGAGAAGGGGACGCTTCAAGAGAGGGAACAGCAATCTGGGTAAGGGCAGAGATGTGCAATGGTGTGAGTCATGTCAGGAATTATACTTTGCTCAGCAAGGTTGGAGCAGAGGAAGTGGTGGGGCCAGCAGGCAAGAGCTGGATTACGAAGGGCTATGTGTATGAGCAAATGAGTTTGGATTTTACCCTGAAAGGTATGTTTGAAGACCCAGATCAATCATCCCACAAGGAAAACAAGAACAAAGAAGATTGGAAGTGCTTTCTTAAATGCCTAAGCATCAGGTGGCTCTGACTTTAAATCTTCTGGTTCAAGAGAAGCTGACTCAGCAGGTAGGGCAATTCATTACGAACACCCCAAAACAAGGACAAGGAGGGGGTAGGTCTCAAGAGGCCACTGGAACACAGCAGGAGTCAGGAGGAAACTGTTTCATTATTCTTCTTTGAGGGTACAGACCTGCTGGCAAGTTTTGGGTGCATTTTGTTCTCTTTTACATAAAACTGGAAAATCCCATTGATCTGATCACTGACCAGCTGAGCATGCCAATCCACATTCTCAACATCTACACACTGTATTTCTAAAATATGTGTGTGCCCCACCCACCTCTGGGATCTTTTTGCTCGACTCTTTCTCTTGGATTCCACTCAGATTCCACTGTCAGGGAAAATAAGAATAGCAAAAGAAGGAAATGAGTTCTTAGAAATGCCAATTCCGGGCCAGCCCGGTGGCGCACTGCGCTAGTGCGCCGCTTGGGAAGCGCGGCGGCGCTCCTGCCGAGGGTTCGGATCCCACATACAGACCGGTTCCCGCTCACTGGCTGAGCGAGGCGCGGGGGCAGCACCGGGGGCAGCACCGGGGGTTGCGATCCCGTTGCCAGTCCTGGTCCGGTATGGGGGGGTCGCTGAGGGTTGCGATCCGTTGCCGGACACGGAAAAAAAAAAAAAAAAAAAAAAAAAAAAGAAATGCCAATTCCTTGGGACTTCCTGATTTCTTGGATCCCTTCTTCTTTCCATCTTTCCAAATAGGAGGGATCCCTACGCCCTTTTGTGGAAATACATTCAATCATTTCTTTAAATCCTTGAAATCATGGGGTGCGTGTATATGTGCACACACATGTTTGTACATGCTTGTTGGGGGTATTGTTGAGACTAAAGTTTCTAAGTGGACTAGGGAGGGGATGCTGATGCTAGCAGAGTCCTCCTTTCCAATAGGGAACTTGGCAATAGGATAAACATGGCGATGACAACCTTTCAGGAGATCTGTAGGGCATGGTTCTGTGTCTGATGGTTCCCATCTACTGGGTAAGGACTCAGCCCTTGGTCTTTTCTAGGGCTTGAACAGCCTTTTCTCTATGTAAATTGCTGTCTAGGTGACGAAATGCCCCACTTAGACCAGAATCCCTGCCAAGTGTGACATGTACTAGGAGGAATCATACCTCCTACATGGCTGTATCTTGGGCCCCAACATATCATCTCCTCCTTCCTTCAAGTAATGCGATGAATGGTGAGCAGCAGACATGTTAAGCCAAGTTTGACTTCAGCTTATCTTAAGAAAGAAAGGCAGAATCCAAAGGTCCAAGCTGCCAAGTGTTCCTGACTTTAAAATATGATTCGAGTGGGGGGAGAAAGTAGGAGATGAAATAGTATTATACTGTGTATTATCATAAGTTGAAGATAATATCTCCAGTGTGTATGAAGAACAAGCCAGTTAGTATATCCTCATAATATCATCTAGAACATGGATCCTAGAACTCCAATCTGAAATTTGTATGTTAATTTGATCCTGGGAATACCAAGTTTGAATTATCAACTGCACCAAAACTGTTCCAGTGGTATCTGTCTTCAACTTTATCCACTTATCCAAAAATTGAAATAGTCCATTGGCAAAGGTATCAGGGAAGAGAATAGCAGGAAAAAGCTGAAACTAGTGCAAACACACTTTGAAAAAGTCCATCTAGGAATCTTGTCTTAATGAATTAACGCCCTCACAGGCAAAATGAACTCTAATTTCAATTTTCCAAGTGCTTTGCCTGTATAGTAAACCCCTGTTTATTTAAAAGAATACTTTCAAAGGCCTTGAAGCATGCCTTATTTCACAAATGCCACCATGGCATATCTTTTTTTTCTTAATCTGCATTTCAAAAAGAAACAATGTTTTTAGAAACCAGTTCATGAGAATGACTGGGTAGGGAGAAATGGAAACAGTCTTTCTGGGGGTGTGTGAGTGCTGAGCAGCCAGGTAGGGTCTCTCACTAGCCACAGCCTCACTCCAGCCTCTCAATAGAGAGGATCAAATTTATTCTTTAGCAAAATGGCAGATGACTACATCCCAAGAACCTTTGGGATCACTTATAAATCACATAATGCTGTTCAAGAATGCTAAAGAGTCTACTGCATGATAGAATATTATTAATTCCAAGTTCTTAACAATTTAAATTCTGGTCATTTAGCCAGCAGTGAAGAAGTCAGCCATCTATGAGAAAAGGACTGCTAAACCAACAGGGCAGGATGAAGTTTTAACCTCTTAAAATAAACTTTTTGGATACTTCAAAAGCACTAATTCCTATTAGTCTGCAACGTTGCTTACAAGTTCCCTATATTATTACTTAAACTCTATTTATTAACTTGTATGATAAGACCTTGTTCTGACAACATTATATATCTTGCTTAAAGTTTCTATGTGACTCTGAAAGTTATAAAATTGCATTAAAAAAAAGACTTTAATACAGATTTAGAAACTAATGCAGGTCAAATTACTACAAATTGATTAGGTTTTTAAATACCTGATCAGAAATTGGGAAATAAAGCTGTGTGTTCTTAGGTCCTCAAATGGTTTTAAACTAACATCTATATTAAAGTTACGAGCTTCCTAAGTTTCACACTGTTTTACCAAATGTTTATTTAGGGTGGTTTAGAAATTGTTCTGAATAGCCACCTGAACCAGACGATCTCTTTAACTGGTCTTTTCAGGTCCAGGATTCTCTAATTTTATAATTTTCCAGGATCACTAAAATCTAGGTCAGGGACTATGTTATTTACAGTGTCTGCACTGTCATTTACAGCTCAGGAGAGTTTACTCATGGAATCATGGAGGGTGGAGGCACAGGGGAAAAGAAGAAGAAAAAAATTATCATGCTAAACTCTTACCTAACTAGGAGACAAGATTTCCCTGATTAGTCTGCAGAGGAAACAAAGGACTCCAGCAGAGGGCAGCTTTCAAGAACTGAGTGGAGGGATGGTTGGGTGTGAATGCTCTTGAGTACAGGTCCCAAGGAAAACTGTGAGAGGGAAAACAACCCTCCTGTCCATTAAGGGTCTTTCCTGAGGCATTCACACCCCACCCTAACTTGTCCCCATTAATAATACAACTGATGATAACTGTGATGCTTTAAAATTAGGTCGGTGGCTTTGCATTAATTTCTCAACTCATCTGATAATGGAATAATTACCCAGGAGACAAATTGTTTCCATTCTTATAAATTCTAGGTAAGCCTGTGCTATGCCCATTTAAGTGTGCTTAAACATAAACACTCTAGGATGTAAACAGATGTAATAAAAACATTCAAAATCCCACAGCTGAAAAGGTAACTAATGGGTTACATAACTATAAATTCTCTCCCACCTTTACAAATGAATCACCTATCCTGATAGAGCTGTCTGGAAAACTCACACCTCAATAAAGGAATGAAGACTTTCAAATCTTATCCTCATAATATCTAAATCTGGATGAAGAAAATTTAGGTCTATGTTTCATTTACAGGAGTAAGCCTTTGCAAGATGAAGATCCCTCATATACATAAATTATCTTTTAAGTTTCCAACTAAGTATTTTCATGCATCACTTCACCTAAACAGCAAAGCAGAATGGAAAATTAAGGTAAGCAAATATTTTTTCACCATGCTTAGTAATGCAGTATTCCTTTTCCAACTCTGGGTATCTGACTCACAAGAAGTTTACAGATTCCATGCTCCATCACTCAGTATGAGCCACCGTCCTGCTGTCCACTGTCTTAAAATACTTTATGAGGCTGCTGCCACTTCATAAGCCCACTAATAACCTTACAGTGGAGGGACTTAGCACATTATCAGATGTGCAAACAACAATAATCTCTTTGGAGACTGGGCACTGTGACTACTATCTCTTGTTTTGCACCATAGTTTTCAAAACTGCAACAACAAAGGTCTCCTCAAGAGGGCTAGTGTTTGAGAGAATAATTTAACTCCTATAGCAAAAAAGTGCTGGGAGGGAAAACCTAATCCTTAGGACATATATTCTCTATTGTACAATGTATGAATTCCTGTGGCCACTATAAACAGTAATGACAGGAAAAAACAGCAGAAAAACTTGTGAAGATATAAGTTTTGCACACCATGTGGAAGGATGACAAAGGGTCTTCCATGGAATCTGTGGCCAGGGATACTGAACAGTGAAATCATACTAATACCTAAAACAAATGCCTAAAAATGAACAAAGCTCTGTGAATACTCTGCAGTCAGGCTTGCTCTCATTTTCCTGAGTCACAGAACCTGTTAAAGCAAAACAGACCTAATCACATAATGGCTTAAGAATTTCAGTCTTGTACAGGAAACTGCAGGGCACTTACAAGCCCAGCAACCTTAAACACAATTTTGTGGTCAAATGAAGTTTAACTACTTCTCTATCAGATTTTAGGCAAAGTGAACTACCCCAGTGAGCCTGGGACAAACCTGGCAGCAGAACAAGAGCAGAGTGCATAAAACCATCAATGGTGCGACCATGAGAAATGAATTCCCTGGAGTCAGTGGGAGTTATGCATGAATAATGCCTGGTGGATTAAACCCTAAAGGATATATGTATGAGAAAAAGATATAGGGGAGAACCTGAGACTATTAAGCACTGCCGACTGGGGCCAACTATGTTCTCAGACACTCTAATGGGCACTTTGGCACTTATACTACAGACAGAAGAATGCACCCACATTCACCATCTACCTGAATAAGCTGTCACTGTTACAAAAATGAGATCCATATTAGTTACCTTGGAAAAATGTTCAGGTTTCCAGTTCAGGCACAGGAAAGCATGACAAGCTACTTCTTAACTTTATTTCAGTGGGAAAAATACAAGTGAAACAATTTATTCATATGTAGATGGTGTGCATATTACTACAAACATTTTCACAAGTAGATGTAGTGGCTTCTGTGGCATTTCTAAGTTCTTTCCCCCCACTCACCTCGGATCCGCTCCTAACAGACTTCCTGAGAGACAGTTAAAGTCTTTTTTAAACGCTCTCATGCACAAGTAGTCTCTTGAAACAACGTGCAATAAATATCCTGACATTAATTTGGCATACGAATTTTGGCCACAGCTGACTTCAACTATAAATACAACTCTTTCCCACATGGCGACATGAAGAGAAATCTGGCATTAGACTACCTGTTCCTAAGGAGCGCACAGGGACCCCTCAAGTTCCCTCTCAGGAGCTGAGAGAAGCAAGCCCTATTCCAACACTGATACCGAGCAACCCGGAGCTTTCCATCAGCCACGGGCTGTTTCTGAATTCTCATGGGTGTTGCCCAATGGGAATAAAACAAACAGGATTTTTATCAGCTGCTTTCTCATGAGATGCTGAAAAGCCAACCTAATTTGTATTCTGGAGGGGAGTGGTGGTGTTCCTTTATCTAAACAAGTCTTCTCCCTCTCCTTTCAAAAAAACTTTTAAATAAAAGTTAACTCCTGATGAACGCCCACAGGCTGAAGCAGAAATACATGTTTCCAACAACTGCTGATAGTTCAGACAGAGGTTTCTAGGTTTAACAGCCCACGGGGAAGCACACGGTCATCAAATAAGATTCCAGAGAAAAGATCCTATTCTCCTACCTGTATTTGCTGTACTTTTCTTGCTTGCTAAGGTGTGTTCACAGTCACGTGCCCAGGGTTAAAAATTAATACTCAGAACTTGATGGAATCACATATATGCAGAACTCAAGGAAAATAAGGTGCTGTGTGGAGGGCATGGGGGTGTTGCCATCGCCCCAGCAGCAGGACAGCTCGCCCAGGGTCGGCTCCTTCTTTCCTCCCCCCCAGCACCCCGAATCCAAAATAGCAGTTTCAAATCTTGTTTCCCCGTCGGCTTCATGGGTGACACTGCGTGAATCCAAACACCCTGCGGCCCCGGCGTCTCTCCAGGGCTCCTTCCGGCCCCGGGTCCCAGCCCTCGAGCCCCGAGGCGGCCCCGGGCGAGGTCTCCGGTGCCCCCGGTAGCCCGCAGTCACCTCGCCCCGCGCGCCCCCGGCCCTTTGTCCCGCTCGTCCCGGCGCCTCGCTCC